TACTGTTGCTGATCTCCAGGCATTGACAAGAACACAACTAATGCAGGAAATCAGCACTTCTGAAAGGTGTCCATTCAGCCCACTCGTGGACAAAGGGTAGATTTTTCATTGGATTGCAGCTTCCAAGATTCCTTACCATTTGTTTTGCTGGTTTTGGCGGGTGGGAACTGTTTTCTTGCTAGTGGCCTCTGCTTTTAGGGAGGACATCAAGAACTAAATCAAAACCACATCATCCTGAGAAACTTCGGTCCAAACCCACCATGTTAATTTCAGGCTCTGTGAAGTTCTCTCCCCCCCCCATGGGCTGTTTGTTGATCCAGATGGGCCAAAGAGAGACCTACAAAACCAAGAGGTGTCAAGTTCTGGGGATGGAATCTAGATTAGGGAATGGAAGTGGAAATCTGGCTGTATCCTCACCACAAAGGACAAGTCAGGAGCAAACACAGAGGTCGGGGCTTTATAAGGCCTGGTGAGCTGAGACTGGACCTTGGGATTAGTTGACTGAACCCTCCAGTGAGGTGTTATTGGAACCTAGATCACACCCTTGAAGCACAGAGCTCCATGTGCTAGTCTTCTAGTAGAAACGGACTTCTAACAAGTCCTATCATTCCCCCATGTAAAAAGCTCCACGCCTGCTTCTCTTATCCCCAACCCTGTTTCTAGGTCATCTACAGCCTTCCACCTTCAGTTGCGGCTAGACATATCGACAGAACGGCTTCTTTGTTTACATTGTGTAAGCCAGAGAGCTCTTTGCCGAAATTGCAGTCCCCCTGTTTACCGGCCTAGCTGAGAATTTCAGCATGAATTTCAGCATTCCCCAGCCTAAGGTCTATGTAATTCCAGGCTCTCCTCCCCTCCCCGAGTTATTGTCCTTGTGGATTTATGTGGCATCACGAGCCGCTCACCGAGAACATGACAGCCCTCTTGCAGATTACTGCTATCAGCAGATGAGCACGGTCACTCAGAGAAATCTATTTATGGCCCTCTAATGCCATCCCCAGATGCTCCGCGCGGTCACTGCCACGGTATCTGGAACCAGGGTTGGAAACGCAGCCAAACCTTGCAGTGGAGGGTTTCGCTCTGAATCGCTGAGCAAAACTGCTCAATGAATGAGAGGAGCAAAGACTCAGGCAGCCACAGCCCACCCTTCTAGCATGATAAAGACAGATGCTCGGGGTTCCCTTGCGAGTCGGCAGCTCAGCCCGAAGAGTCGGCTGCCGGTGGTGTGCAATCGAGGTCCGGACTCCCGCAATCTTGTTCTCGGTGATATTGACAAGGAGAGATGCTTATTTCTCTGAAGGTCGGCCACCAGCTCCCGACCGATGCTCCGCCTCGTGCGACCTCGGGAATGTTCTGCAATCCGAGGTTTCACTCCCGATTTGCACATAACCGGAGGCGGCTTCCACTTGATGCGTTTGGTAATGAAGTCTTTGTTGGCTGTGCGGGACGTCTGTCGACTTGACCATATGGCTGGGGAATATCGGAGGCCACAATCATGACGTGGTGCTAATTAACTGGTCTCTTTATCCACCTCAGCTGCTTCATTTTTTAAAACATTGGATGGTCCTTTAAAGAAAAAAGAAGCTCTTATTTATTTGCCCCTGCAAACAGAAAGCGACAACAGCAAAACGAACTTCAATGACAACAAACTAAAGATCATCTCCCCCCCCGCCCCGACCTCCTCTTGTCTTCTCAGCCATATGTAGAATAGAGCTACTCTGCTTAAAAGTCAAAACGAGAGATTTCTTGCTGCCCTAGCTTGATCTTCTGCTTCTTTGCTGGTTTCACTGCCAAAAGGAAGCAGCAAAGTCTAGAGAGGGAGTGCAAGAGAAGTGGGTAAGCAATGATCCTCAAGACAAGAGCGTGAGTTCAAGACACCCCCCCCCCAAAAAAGCAAGTTCTAACTACAGTATTGGCAAGAGTGGTCATATTGTAGGGAAGAAGGAGAGGAAACAGAGGAGGAGCTGTCTACAAGAAAGAGATACAAATATGGTGCTACCTGCTTTTTGCTTTGGTCTCAGGCCAGTAGCACCCTGTCCTTTCCATCAAGTGAAAATGTATGCGACCTTTTGTGCATTCCGTGCGCACGCACGCATGCACGCACACGCGCGCGCACGCACACACACACACACACACAGTGGGAGTGTTATATGCCATCAAGTCAGAATTGACTTCCAGCAACCCTTGCAGGGCTTTCAGAGTAAATGAGATATTCACGGAATGGTGTTACTAGTCCCGCCCACCTGGGAGTCTCTGTGGCCAAGCTGGAATTCGAACCCGGGTCTCCTGAGTTTTCGTCCATCGCTCTATCTGCCGCATCGAACGGGTTACACACATACACAGAGGCTCCCAGTCTTTGGCTACAAGAAGATATATGGAATCCATTTTAGCCTCAAAACAAACATCCAAGGGAAATCAAGAGAATTACCTAAAATGATTTGATGTCTTTTGGAACCTGGATTTTCCCAGATTCAGGCATCATATACAAGGCAGGAACGTCCAGGGCTTCAGGAACATATCTGGCGCCAACAAGGGTGAAACTGGAAATAACTGGCACATCATTTTTTAAAAAACCAACCTAAAAAAAGAATAAAGCTAAAACCCATGTGCAGGAGACATGCCCTAGATTGAGAAAGAGGCTTCTAAAGGTGTGATTTCGTGCTCCTTTTTAAAAATAAACTGGGGGAAAAGGTTTGAGGCTGACAAAATCAGGTTTGCTGGGGGGTGGGAGGCCTGCAATTGGCAGGATTCTCATCCCTGAAAATGGCCCATGTGGGGGCCCAGTTTAAATGATGTCCCCTATTAGCTTTGTAGGGATTCAGGACTTGCAGCCATAAATCTGTATCTTGAGTCTACTGAAGGCAAGTGGAATTTAATCAATTGGCCAACCAATCAATCAAGTAATTAGTGACATTTTATACCCCATTTTTCTTCCAGTGAGCTCAAGGCAGAGTACAGAACCCCCCTCCTTCCCACTTCACCTTTAGCAGCAGCAGCTTTTTCTGGGACGTTGGGTTGAGGGAACCTGGTGGTCCCGAGATCCCCTAGTGAATCTTATAGCTTAGTGCAGAGGTTCACAGCCTTGAATGCCCAGATGTTCTTGGACTACAACTCCCGGAAATCCTGGCCCACACACAGCTAGTGCAATGTATACAGAGCATTGATTGCATCATATACTGCTTCGATAGAATTAGCATTCTTGGTAGGAACAGAATTACCTGCATCCCATGCGCAGTACACACAGATTCCAGGCCGGTGAGACTAGGATGAAGATGACAGTTGCTTCCGTGGTCCAGCGGTGGCATAGAACTCACAAGGGGATTGTCAACATATCCCATTTCAATACAGCCTGCGTTAAATGCAGTCATCTATTTTGTGAGAGTCGATGTTTGCGCAATGGTTACAACATTGAACTACAGCCGCGGAGCTGTGAGTTCAGATCCCTTCTTGGCAGCTGTAAATTGCACTGTGCGGGTTTCCTGGGCAGTTGCGACAATTACAAACAAAACTAGGGGGAAGAATGAGATTATCCCCTTTTTTTTTTGCTCCTTGGAGGAAGGGTGGGAATAAAATGAAAAATAGAGGACTAAGCCTTCTAATCTTCTCTCTGGGCTGATTGCTCAAAAAATGTGTGACCTGTGCGCTGTGCCTGTGATTTGCTAGCAGATTTAGTGGACACCTTCCCAGCTGGGAAACCCTTACCCTTCCAAGTCGCCCCGAGAAGCATGGCCATTTGTTTGTTTTATCCAAGACCCCATAACTCACTCTTGACAACCTGATAGGAGGCCGTTGGCGCCGGCTGAGCTACAAGGTAGTTCGACATGATGTTGCTGAGTACAGGCGCTCCGGGCCAGAAAAGGCTTACAAAAAGGCTCTTTCTCTTATCTGCTGTCGTCATTACGTTGGGAGGCAGTCGGCTTCTGGATGCAGCTGGCAAAGAAGAGAGGGTGGTGGAATGAGTCGGAGCTTAAAGTTTTGGTACCATCCTGCCAGCCAGATCCATGTCCCTTTCTGTTTTCTCTTTGATCATCCCAATGCCCTTTGGACCACTGCTGTTCCGAACCAACGGTTGGTGCCAACAAACTCTTAACCCCTTTATTATTAAAGAGTGGTTTATTATTCGTTGTGTTTATATCTCCTGGTTGGGAGTTTGATTTCTCACTCTGATGCCCGGGAGAAGAGCCAGCCTGTGTAGCCTTGGGCAAGGTGCCGGCATGTTGATTGATGCCACGTTGTGGTTCTTGTGAGACCACCCCAGAGCTTCTTTATTTAAGTCCAGCCACCATTACTAAAAAATCCCATGGAGGCCTGGTGGAGCAACAGTTTTTCCTTCGTGGGGTTTTCAATCTTCGCCCTGAAAAACCAAACTGGAAGCGCCCATCCTTGCTCTTCTGTTGACATTTCTTTCCAAAGAAAGGCTGAGAACAGTTGCCAGATCTGGTTCTCTGTGGCCCATGGCAAATGACATTGAGTCATGAGCGCTGCAGAACACTAGGGCACAGATTTGCGCACGGAGACCATTACACCAACTGGTTTTCTGTTTACTTTGCAGCACCTGCAGTTTCTAGTGAAGTTTGTAGCCTTTTTGTTATGGCTGTTTAGTGTTTGTGTTTTATTGCATTGTGTTCCCAGTATTTTATTATGTACCCTGTTGGCATGGAATCTGAGTCAATGAGAGGCAGTGCAAAAAATATGTTAAACAAACAAAAGCAAGCCTTGACAAGAAGTACTAGGCCTGTATTTTTAAGCAGTTCTTGCTTTTTTATTCTCCCTATTCTGTTGGTCTCCAAAACTTAGTTCCTGAGAGGGACCTTAAAACAACATTAAGAAGATGAGCACCCAGATCTTCCAACTGTGACTCTCTCAAGGACACCTTCCTTGTATTAATTAATAGGGGTGTATTTCGGGATGATGAATGGCATCAATCTTGAACGTGAAAAGCTGCAGTTCTCAAAGAAAAAGTCAATGACCCCGTCCTGTCATTCTTTCTTCCCTTTCAGATGCTGTTCTGTGATGAGCATCGAGAAACACACACGGTGCTTTGGAATAAGAGTTGGGCAAGAGAGAGAGAGAGAGAGAGAGAGAGAGAGAAGGTGGATCGGTGGCACGCCAGAAAAGTAGCAAGGTGGGAGGAGGGCGTAAGGTAAGCCCCCGTTTGAAAACCAGAAAGAAAATTAGACCACAAAGGAAAAGTGGGAGATTCCCTCCCACACAAAAAGCATGATACGAATAGCTTTAAAATGGATACGTTCACCACCTTACGGAGACGTGGCTCTAGAGGAACTCTTTATCAGTGTCAAATTATGACAAATGACATTGAGGGGAGAGTCACAAGGGGGCGCAGAACATTGTCCTCACAGAGATTACACAGTTTTTTTCCATCTCCTCCTTTTTTTTTACTGCTCTGTTGCTTGGTTCTCCCCCATTTCAGCATTAATTAATCAGAAGGAATAAAAGATTTTTTTTCCTCTTGTCTATTCCTACTTCTTCTTTTAAACTGCACAAAATTAGTTTTTCATGGGGGAAGAAGGGGAAACAAGAAGGAAGGGCATTGGGAAAAATGGAATATTTGGGCAAGATAACACGCTGCTCCTTGGCTCCTACGAAAAGATGTTATTTGCCTCTTTTGACAAGACAAATTGCAAAAAGTGTGACCCGCTGTCACATCCGGTGGAATGGCTCGGCAAGTGCAGATATATAAAATAAGCGGCAATTATGGATAGACAATAAAAGTCAGGAGAATTTTGTTTTCTTTCTTTGTTTTCTTCCTTTTGGCAGTGGTTTCTGATACGTAAGTTAGCGTGGAAGCGAAGAGACGTGAGTTGCTAACCATGGACGTAATTCATTCAGATTTTACTTTTGCCGCTGTTTCTCTGCCTCCGTGCTGCAGGGTGGTAATAGCGATGCTGAGCACCTTGCAGGGTTGTTTTAAGGGTGGAACGATGGCACCTTTCAATTGCCAACTAGTGAGCATTCTCTGGATGGTGTAAAGTCTATTCAAATATAAAATACCAAAGCTGTACAGTGAAATGATGACTAAAGATGGCCGAAGGTAAGACTAAGGTAAAACCAACAGTGCAGAATAAAACATTGCACCATTCTTGCATTGTAGCATATTTGGATTTTCAGGAAAGGACAATAGGTGGTTAGTTATTTGTTGCTGTTATATGCCCCCAAGTTGCCTCTGACTCCTGGCAATCCTATGAATGAGCGATCTCCAAAATGGTCTGTCCTTGGATACCGTCTCAGCTCTTGCAAACTCAAGCCCCATGGTTCCCTTTAGGGCAGTGGTGTCAAACTGTGGCCCTCCTTGGATGCCCTGCTCAGCTCTCGCAAACTCAAGCTTGTGGTTTCTTTGGAGAGTCAGTCCATCTCATATTTGGACTTCCTCTTTTCCTGCTGCCTTCCACCTTTCCCAGCATGATGGTCTTTTTCCAGAGAATCCTGTCTTCTCGTGACGTCCCCACAAAGTAGGACAGCCTCAGCTGCAACATTTTTCCCTCCAGAGAGAGTTCAGGCTTGATTTGCTCTAGGACCGACTTGTTTGTCTTCTGGCCATCCAGGATATTGCAAAGCTCTTCTCCAGCATCGTATTTCAAAGGAATCATTTCTAAGTTACTTATTTATTTATTTTATTTATTTATTGTAGTTATACCCCGCCTATCTAGTCATTTTGACCACTCTAGCCGGCTTACAACATAAGGATAACAAGTTCTAAAAAAATTTATAACAATTAATTAATTAAATGATTCTATAAGATGGGAAAAATAAAAATAAATCAAATAAAGAGGAAAAAAAAGGAAAGAGGACAGGAATTAACTGGAAGGGAAGGCCTGCCTATACATCCATGTTTTTATTTAGCATGCTATTATTGTACGGTATTTTAATTGCAGGAAGAGAAGTACTTTGGGCGCTTTCTGCCTTCTCCTCCGAAATAACACGGAGGGCTTTAGCTCCCCTAAATTGTGCTCCTCCTGGCCTCAATGTATTTTGGGTCAGACCCCAATGGAATCATCTTCCTATGGTAGCTCTGTGGGTCTAACTGGTTATGGATCCAGCCTGGAGTTTGGATAAATCTTTTTGTGTGCCCATGGTGTCGGGAAAATTCACTGCTTTAGTTCAAATTCCTTTTGTTGTGGGCTTGGGCAGGTACATCCATCACCACGTCCGTACTTCTATTATGCAAGAGCAGGACTTGGAATGTTAACAAAAAAGCAGTTGGAATGGGATGATGGCTGTGTCTTTTCTATTTATATTTTCCCTGTTTTCACCCAGTAGTTGCCATTCCATCAGGCACCTGAATTGTTTCTATCACAGCCGACTTTTATAAGAAAAGGGACCTTAAGAACTAATACCTGTATTTGCTTTTTTCCTCTTTCCTCTCATCATGTTTTCCTTATGTGTAGTATTTCAATTTATCACAGTATAGGCGAGAGCTGTCTTCCTTCTCCTCATCTCTCTCTCTCTCTCATACATTTATATACCACTGATTTGGTGTGGGACAGTAATATAAGGGGTTTACAAATATAAAATCAAACAAGAAACCCAATCATCCAAGAAACAAATAAGATAAACACCCACATGAAATAAACTGATTTTTGATTGATAATAAGAATGTCCTGGCTTCAGAGAGTTCTAAAGCAAATGAATAAAGACCAAGCGATCATAAAGCACTGAAAACTGGAATACATTGATCATGTAAGGAAAAGTAAAAAAGAACAGGTAGAATGAAAAGGGAAAGAAGCGGAGGAAGGAAAAGAACCTGATTATCAGTCAGGGAATATGGGAGCCTGGTTGGATGTAACACAATGTTGTTTAGAGCTGCCACATCCAAAGGGGGAAAACAGGCATGATAGCTGCCAAGCTTGAGGAGAAGAGGAGGAAGTCCTTAGAATCAATCTCCTGCCAAGCTTGAGGAGGAAGAGGAGGAGAAGAAGAGGAGGAAGTCCTTAGAATCAATCTCATGTTGTCTATGGTGATGGGACGTCTCAGGTTGCATCGTTTATTCCTCTATCCATTTCATTCACACCCAATTTTATATTCACAACACTCTTGCAAAGTAGGTCAGGATGAATGGGGGAAAGGGTTTGCTCTAAAGTCACTCAATGAGTTTCATGTTGCAGTGGGGACTTGAACTTGAATCTCCAAAGTCCCAGTCTAACCCCTACACCATAGGGATCCCATGCTCAGTTGCTCCTAGGGAGACACTATTGTGGATAGTATTGCTGTCCGGCACAAACCGCTGATCTATATCATGGGGGGGGGAAGGGGGGTGGAATCATTGCTTAAGGGCCATCTCGCCCTCCTGTTCTTACGTTTTCTAACATCTCCCTTGAAGCTTTGTCTGTATAGGTGTTGAATTATATGGCTCTTTGACTCCTTACCAGAAATTGCTCTGTATTACCTTCTTTATGTAATCTTTTCCATTTCCCCCAATATTTTCCCATTGCTCACGGAGGAATATCTATAACTGTCAGCAAGCACGCTTTTTCCATCAGCCGACTGCTGTGCCATTTGCTCCTAATAAAGTCGTCCACTCTTCAGCTGTGGGGCTGTAATCTGAAATGAAAATGTTACTGGAAATGGGGTTGGATTGAAATCTTCCGCATCGGTTTTCTTAAGAAACTTTGCACGCACGCACAGACGCAGAGTATGCCGAAGATGAAACGGGACGGAGGAAGACAGAGAGAATATGGGTTATCATCTTGTATTTCTCTTTTCATCTTCTGCCCCAGTTCTTGATGGAATTCCAGCTGGCTGAACCAGTGTAAATGGTTTCCATGCGAATACGTACTACGGCAGGTCTGTTCTCAAGATCAAACTCTTCTTCTCTGCTTTAATTCATCTGGAAAAAATAGACCCTTGCTTTACGCCCTGCTTGACTATGAGGAGACAGAAGATAGAATAGGATCTCCTGAGAGAGAACGCTCCGGGTTTTGCAGTACCAAGAAGGCTTCTGACACCTGTCATGTAAGAGCAGCAGGTAAAACTGAGGTTGAACACGAACACATACCTGCACCAACTGGCCTTAAATTAATTGCTCTCTGTCCTACAGATCCACTGCTGAAAACTATGAGGATCAGTTGGTTCCCTTTACGGTTGTTCTGTGCCATCACGTTGCTTCCGATTTGTGGTGACCCCATGAATGAGCGATCTCCAAAATGTTCTGTCCTCAACTGTCCTGCTCTGCTCCTGTAAATGCAAGCCTGTGGCTTCCTTTAGGGAATTGATCCATCTAATATTTTCCTCTTTTCCTGTTGCCTTCATCCTTTCCAAGCATTATCTCTTCATTTATCATCTTTCCTGTCCTCACCCTAGATTAGCCCTATAACGGTACTGGGAGTTTGGGTCAAAAGGGTAAGGTTTCCGAGCATTGGTCTTTCATATTTGTACATATATTTAATGGAGATATGTCTGTAATGATTAAATATGTGGTAGCAAGAGTTTTCAACAGGAAACATCTTTGCTTATGAATAACCTAAAGAGGCAACAAGCAGCATCTTGCTGAACACAGTGCAGTAACATGCCTTTTACAGTATCTTTATTTTTGATGAGCAAAAACAGAAGCTAAGTAAAAACAATTAACATACCATGTAGAGGAAAAAAACATTATACAAACTTGGAAGATTAGAAATTGTTGCTCTAAACATTGTAGTGTTGGTGAGGTATTGTTTGATAAAAAATAGTTGGTTGCATGGGCAACGTGTAGTGTTCTGGATGTTTTTGGACTGCAACTCCCATCAACCCTAATTACCATAGCCCATGGCTACAGGAGGAAATGAGAAGAGAAGACTCCCTGGAAAAGACCTAAGCCATTGCGATCAATTGTGCGGGAGACTCCCAGATATGAAAGGTCTCTTATTATTTTATCACGATTTTACTTGATCATATTTGTATTATAAACAATTGTGACGGCTTTTAGCCAATACAGTAAACTTGAACTTGGTACAGTGGTGCCTTGCTTAACGAGCGCCTCGCTGAGCGATGAAATCGCTTAACGAGGGGCTCTGGGCCATCGCTGGAGCATTCGCTCAGCGATGGCCCCATGGTGATTTTTCGCTTTGTGATATTCGCTAAGCAATTCGCTTAGCGAATATCGCATAACGAAGCGGGGGAGAACAGCTGATCGGCGGTTCCAAAATGGCCGCCGGAAGGTCCGCGCCGCATTTTCACGCCCTGCCCTTGCTTACCGAGGGGGCGAAAATGACGGCGCTATGGAGGAACATCGCTTAACGGTGAGTTTTAAAGCCATAGGAATGCATTGAACAAAGTTCAATGCGTTTCTATGGCTTTTTAAATTTCATTTAGCGATGTTTCGCTATAGCGAAGGTTAATCCGGAACGGATTAACCTCTATGCGAGGCACCACTGTACTATAATAGCCCATGGTGAGGAATACTGGTCGTTGCAGTCTTAC